GCTACTTTTGTACAACTACAACTTCGTCCATCCTGGGTATGACGATAAACTGCATCCACGTCCTGGGTAAGACGATAAACTACGTCCAGCAGCAAGGCCTCTGATCAGGATGCTTTGAGGAGCGTGGAATCACCTCTTAATTGCTGGTGTTCCCAGTTCCGCCCTGACCTGGGCAGGTAACACTTGTTATGGTCCGAGCTATGGGCAAATACTTAACCCCCAAACTGGGGTCAAGACACTATGAACGTTTAAATATAGGTTTTAATACCAGCAAAACTTTTTTGTTAAAAAATTACCAGCAATAAATTTTTGAAGAAAATTTTTTTACCAGCAAAACATTTTGGGAAAAAATATCACCAGCAATACGTTTTGAGAAAAAAAAAAAAAAAAGCAATAAAAATCTTGTCGGCATAAAATAACCCATTGAGGTTAATATGCTGCAAACCAAACCAAACCAAACCAAATCAAACCAAACCAAACCAAACCAAACCAAACACAACACCTTCGTTTAGTAGAATGTTGGGTTTTATGCAAAAAGTACACTACTGTAAAGTGTCCTGATATATTTTTAGTTTTAGCGCCTAAGTCACTTAAATAGAATAACTTAAAGTTCAAACTTCCCTGTAGATTACCCGGATTGATTTACACCTGATGAAAGCCGAGGGTGACAACGGTTGAAACGTGACAACAACAAAAAAAGATAAATACAATAATCCGACTGTAAATAGCGAAATAATTTAATAAACTTTATTCGGACTATTGTCCTCATCTTTGTCGCCATATTTATCACAACGTTTCGGCCGTTGTACGCTCCGGCCTTCTTCAGGTAGTTGAAATGTCGAACTGAACCCTTTATTTCGCTCACCGGGGTAGACCGTTCTAGTTCCACGTGCCATGTTTGATGGATGTCAGTCTAACCCGGTGAGCGAAATAAAGGGTTCAGTTCGACATTCCAACCACCTGAAGAAGGCCGGAGCGTACAACGACCGAAACGTTGTGATAAATATGGCGACAAAGATGAGGACAATAGTCCGAATAATGTAAATAATGTACATAATACCTCATCTCAGAAATATAGACAGACTTTAATAAACTTGTTTATAATTTTGAATATCTCGCGTTTTTTCTGTAATTTATGGAATTTTATGTTTCTACTTGATATGGCTGTAAGACTCCATTCAATAATTATTTATATTATGGGATTACGTATTTTTATCATTCATTTTCGACTGCTTTTTCTTCCCTTTATTTTGTTTAATTATTATTCTAGATTCTCGATCGGAACAAAGCAAGTTGCAGGAAGTAAGAAGAAAAAACAAGTACGTATTATCTGATGAGACTCACATCTTCGATATCGAATGTAAGATCAAAGCCAGAATTATCTGAAATCAGCTGAAAATTCAGATAACTAAAGACTATTGATCCTAAGTCTAGACAGTAAACATTGTTTCCCAAAAGAAGCAATATGGAAGTCTATTAGAACCCTAGATAAAAGATTTCCATAGTTATGGTATCATCAATTTAAAACTCAATGCAAGAAACTGACAGAAAACATACTGTGATGATAGCTATCTCCAAATTATCTACACATGCACGCACACATACACACACACATATAATATATTTTCTGTTTATACGTTATTTTTATAGATAGGATTTATTTAAGTTAATGCAGTGTTTTTAAATAAACAGTACGAATTACATTTACCTGCCTGAATGTTCGAGAAATTTCGTAGAAAATATGCGTTCTCCGACAGGAATTGATCATTTCATCTGATGTGCTATACCATTAAGCTAGAGAGAAGCGTTTGGTTAGCAAAGTTCGAATTACTACTTATACACGAACAATCTTCGACGAATTTTCTCCATCGATCATATATGTTCAGGAAACGTATCTTAACGTAAACAATAACGTAGAGAGGTTGGTAAAGGAAATTAACACTGTTTAATTAAAAACAGAGAATAAATTGTATTGAACGATAACCCATAAACATAAAATATATTAAATCCATTTAATTATATGTTTAAGTAATCCATTTCATTATATGTTGTCATTGTTTACATTAACTACATTAATTGCGAGCGTAAACAAAGACAACATTTGGATAATTTTTATTTTGCTGTTAATGACCTAAGCTTTTAGCTCACATAAGCCATCTTATATATATATATATATATATATATATATATATATATATATATATATATATATATATATATATGGTGCCCTTTACTAGCAGTAGCACCTGTAAGTACATAAACCCTACATCAGTAGTAGATCGAATATAAGAGCGTGTAAACCTTGAAGTAATTCTCTCTTTTTTCGTGTTTTCCTTTTTCGAAAGTGTGATGTGAACTTTCCAAGCAGAAGCTAAAAGAGTTGTAAAGGCTTCACCTAAAAACTCACCCATAAAAAGTCACATTGTAACAGGATTGAAATGAAGCTCATATATATATATATATATATATATATAAAAACCACGTCAAAGAATGCAGACGTGTTAATTCGAAACGTGATAACATCAAAAACTCCCTGAAAACACTGATTATTCCAGAATCATTTTCCAACATTCAAGATGATCTTCTCCCTCTCTAACCTAACTTTCTGTCCTGAAGTAACAAGGTGTCTCACGGGTTTCACGTACGATTTCATTTTCAAGACTTTTTTTTACCGCACTTTGGATTTTCATTGCTGAAACCTGTCTCTCGCGTGACAAAATAGTATGGATTATGTTGGCTCTGTTTTAATTAATCTCCATAGCTCTAAGTTGAAATGGTGATCACCCCCTCTTTTGACCTCTTGATTCAGTTTTTCCTCTCTACTATTCTCTCTTTTTTAAACTTATTCACCGTTCTCTTGATGGTTAACTTTGAAAATGAAAGCCAGTGTATGAATGTTAGTATCAATACTGAAACCCTGAATATCGTTTTTCCTCTCACCATTTCTCAATTGTTTAGACGTAGTGGGGTTGACACAAAACGATTTTAACATGTTCTTTTTCTAGCTGAATAACTCATAGGGTTTTTCAGTGATTCCTACGACAAATGGTGTCACGATGGCTAAACTTTGTATCTGAAAACTTGGAGAAAAGTTAGAACGGTGTTGAGCGGTCTCTGACTGCGCACACCTTCTGTCGAACTCTCTGCGTTAGCAGAGAGGAACCCGGACGAGGCTTTGCCGAAGGGCAAGGTTTCGTCCGGGGAGGTAGACAGGGCCTGAACCCGTCTAGGCGGGTTCAAAGGCTATATTTTTGGCCGGGCCTACAGGCTCGGGGATACCCACATTAAAACTGGCCTTGTGCCATATTCGTTTCCCGTGGGTGGAACGATAAATACTGAAAACTTGTAGAAAAGAAACTCAATTATTTTAGGGGTTTGTGTGGAGGACAATTATCCCATGCTGTTACGCGATTTTGTTGTTACACTCAGTATAGAAAGGTAATTTTTTGTTAATCGAACTTTTTTCGTCCTAAATAAGATCCATCATAGAACGATCGGCTAAGAAATGTTTACTTTTATTTATATTGCCTTATATTCATAAGATGAAGAACAAATAAGAAACACATCTTTTATAATTAATAATGAAAGATCCGTTTCATATTTGGTCTTTATCTTATCTTTCATTCGAATTCCGGTTCATATTTGATCTACATTTGATCCCAACTTATTTAATATTCGTATATACTTTTAGCTATATCTAAATTATTATACACAAACATACACTAACACAAACATACACCTTTATGCAAATTAATTGAAACAAAACGAATAATTCGGCTCTCATTAACTTTTTCTTCATATTTTTCCATTGAAACTTGATTCACTGCACATGTTAGTACTTCGTATGTCCATACCCCGAAATCGTTCCTTGCAGATAGACAACAGATTCTCCCTTGGATTTAAATCAAGAGAGTTTCCGGGCCAGTCTAATACTTTGATGTGCTCAATGGTAAAGCTTGCCAGTGTGTTCGTGCAGCGTTGCAAATATTGTACGCTTCCTTGGAGCAACATCCATCGCAGACAATGGCCGTAGGACAAATAATCGACAGTCTAGGCGTGATGAAAATCTGATGCAATCACGGATGACGCGATATTTTTCAAGACCAAACAAATTTCATCATATACCTCGAAAATAGATTCATATTACTGCACACTGCAAATGATCTCATCTGAGAAAAAATAGAAATCGACTGAAAATTACGTCAGTTACTGTCCCGTGTGGAGATATTGTTAATATCTGTTAATTGTTAATTGTTTCCGTTAACAGTATGAAAACAGCGTTCTCTAAATTCTTCCAGTTGCTAAGGAAATTTTGTTTTATTATTATTATTAGTTACTTTGTTTAATAAATTAATTTCGTTTTTTGCCTTGAAAAAGTCCACATTGGACGAAACGCGTCGGCAACTCTTACAGTTTTCCTATTGTCTTTTACATTTATATAACGCAAGTGTACGTTTTCCATTTGCCGTCTCTCTTCAAGACATGGGCGATCATAGCTCTCCACAAGTTTCCGTTTTATTACTTTGTAACTATGATCTTCAAATTTTAAATGCAATGGTAATCATTATATTCTGTCTTAATTATTGTTTAATTTATTATTCTCCCTCCTTAATAATGTTTTTATTTCTTTTTTATCATTTTCTTTCACACTCAGTATCCCCTTGTGTCTCAGCGGCTTTATTGCCTTGCTTGGTGTGAAATGCTAAAAAAAAAAAACCTCAACTACAAAAGGAGCAGTATCAATTGATACGCTGGCAAAAATAGTACCGCCCGCTAAGTGAAATAGCCTGAACCTTATAAAACTTTAATATTAAATACGAACTGAGTGCTTTTTATGTAAAATTAAGGAATCTTGTTCCAGATGCTATTGGCTATCTGTTCTTGAACCTATCCGAACTTCATAATATTGTACTGTTTAATGTAAATCGATTGGGTATTATATTCTAGCAAATGCAATCAAATGGAATGAGATTCAAATAAAGAATTAAATATTGACTTACCTTCAAATGATGTATTGAGGAGATACTTTTTAAGAAGCACCTCGCCGTCAATTTTCTTCATTTGGTCGCAAAGTCTCACGGATTTTGGGCAAAGGTCTTTCTGCATTCGATGAAGTGCGATTGCCAATGCGTATACTGCGTCATAAATGAACTGTACTTTGCTTTCCTGTTTATATTCACCTGGGTTCATTTTCTCATCCCCGTTGCAAATTCGTTCGGGTATCGAATCTAGAGATGGGAGGGATGATCTTTCTTCTGTCATCCATTTGCAGTCGTGGACTTTCTCCCAGTATTCTCGGAACCAGGGGTTTCGTGTATTTAAATACGGATCCAGCTGTCTAAAATAATCGTTAAACGGATGTATGAGAGCTGATGTTAGCTCTATAGTCAATGCGCCTTCAGCCACCGCTTCATTCCGCTTTACCGGATGGGGTTGACGCCCCCACGCGTCACTAGCAATCCAGACAAAATGATTTGTTACGTTCATTTTTGTTGCCGACTCCAAAATCCGAGTGGCGTCCTCGATTCGAACGAACAGAATCACTACCCGTGCGTTCTTTTTTTCCAAGAGTCTACTTATAAGGTAACTGAAAGTGTTACTCTTCGAGTTGGTCGGGATTTTGACTGTCGTTGCTATGCAAATATTTCTCTGGCGGGCCTCCTGCTGAAAATAATCTATACCCGACTCACCGTACTCTCCTTGTGAGGCCACAGTCGACACGTATGTCCAGTTAAATGCCGATACAATGTCCACCATTGCAATGGCCTGGAATGTATCTGGAGGTACCGTCCGTACAAAATAGTCGAACCTTGTTTTGTCGCTCAGGGCTGCGCTTGTCGAAGCATAGCTGATTTGGGGAATATGAAACAGTCGCAGTAAGTTGGCTACTTGCAAAGAAACACTGCTGGACGAACCGCCAATAACACCAGCTACGGCTGTTGGTATATATTTTGCTTTGGCCAACGAGCCGTCATCGCATTCGAACTCTGATGCGTCTAATGTACTGATTGAAGCCCGTACAAATTCAAGCGACTGTTCTAAAGCGTACGTTGCTCTTGCGCACGTGTCATAAATTGCAGCCCCGAGTTTAATACCGGGTAAAATGTTTGAATTACGATTGATGTGGTCGACTGTGAATAACATAGCTTCCAATCTTTGGACGGCCCTTTGCACATCGATTTCTCCACACGGTTTGTCTCCTTCGCCTTTTTGGTGCACTGGAAACAGACCTCCCAATATAATATCGCCTGGGATAATGGCCTTGCTGGTTTTATTATCTGACATGGCAGATGTAACTAGAGGCACCCAGAACAACAAGACCACTGCTAAACATTGTAATAAACGTCGGAGCCTTCTACGGACTTTCATCTTCTCTCCTTTCCAAATAGTTTAACGCAGACTTTTGCTTTTTTTTGACAACACCTACTCCCTTTCAAACAAACACTATCAGCTGCAAAATCTCTCCCTTCCACCCTTACAAACACAAATTATCATATATATATATATAGATATATATATGTAAATATAGATATATAACTTTTTCTCTCTCTCTTTCTCTCTTTACATATATATATGTATATATATATATATATATTTATATATATATATATTTACGCGACTGTTTGTAATGATGTGTATATATGTATGTGTTTAGTGTTGAGTATATTTGATGATATGTATATGTGCGTTATGCGACGCAAAGAAAGGAAATAGACTGTTAATGCTAATTTAATAAAGGTTACGTTGAATTTCTTTTCAAGCAGACAAACAGACAGATTTTACAGACGGACGGAGGGTGGGAGGGACAGACATGCACGCACGTACACACCCTGACACTCGCCAGGAAGCAGCCACCGTGGGTTAATTGCTGCCTTTCGTGCGGCTATCTTAGGTTAATTCATAATTGTATGTTATCATGATGTGGGTGACGTTAGACTCTCCTGTTTCACGTCTCATCGAGGCCTGTTTCCTGGTGCCTATTTTGAAAGCCTTTTCGTCCTGAAAAAGAAATAAAAAAAAATAATATGAAAATTAATTTTTAAAAAGCGTTTTACACAAACCAATTATAACAGGAATGTCCGTAAAAAAATTAAAAAAAAATACATCCCCAAATCTCTACATCAGAGACCGTCAGGTTTTCAAATACATAACATATGTAAGAGAAATAGTCATCAAAAAGTTCTGTAAACCAGTCGTAGGGATAAACATATACTGCGTCCGATGCGGGTGCCATTGTAGGAGTTAACTCCTCCTTAATTCCCAAATTGTTACTAAGGGGTCATTGTCCCTATACTATAAATACTGGGCGACTTCTTTCTTCGTTCTCTTTAACTTCAGGCCTCGTGCCGCATCCCACCTCGCGTGGAGGTGAAGTAAATCCTCTTTTTCATTTCTTCATTTCAGCGAGCACATCTACAATGTAAGCTCTCGCAAAAAGATTACGTTTCCCCACTTGTGGGAAGACACCGTGAACATTATACACACATACACGTACTTGCGAACATTCACCAAAGAACAGACACAAATGTTCATACACACAGACACTAATATCATTTAAAGGATGACTGCCAACATTAGCCTTGAAATAGATACCCTACCAACCTTAGCAAAACCTCTCAGAAGATGATAAATCTATAGATAAGAATTAACTCTCTGACCACTTAACGAAGAAAACTAGCCTAGCCATTCCCACAATAACGAATGTTAGGACGGACAATGCCTAAAAACACACGTAAACCAAAAGATAGCTTATCCCTAAAATTTCTCTAGAAGATGAAACGAGACTAAACACCTCAATTCAACTTAATTTTAATAATCATTTGGATGATTTCGGCTCTCGTTTTTGAAACATGAAAACTCTTTATGTAGAGAAGGAATCATATTTTAAAAAAAAAGATTATATATATATATATATATATATATATATATATATATATATATATATATAAACCTAGTGAGCCGGACAAACCTACCTACGTAGCCGGCTTTCCCTGACGATCCGTTTAGGTGAAACCTAGGTAGGTTTGTCTGGCTCACTAGGTTTATCTAGGTCTGCTCTACGGTTGTATTGAGCTCTTTTGTTAGTTAGTTGTTTACCCGTATCGTTTTTTTTTTTTTTCCTTTGGGCTTCAAACCTGCATCTGTGCGATTTTTTTTTCGACAGACTTTCATGTTTGTAGCTCTTTCTTTTTTTAACCTTTTTTTCCCTCGAGATTGATTTGATTATTGTCAAATCAAAAATTCGAGGGTTTTTCGAAACGAGTATAGTTATCTATATATATATATATATATATATATATATATATATATATATATATATCGGTCTTGTTTGTTTGTCTTCTTTACATCTTCACTTGAGTCCGGCAATTTTCATGTAGTTGGACCTTTTAATATTCTACCAGGAGTTACGCACATATTTCTAATACAGCAACACGTAAACACACCCACCGGTGTTCTACACCATCATTTCAAACTTAATGAGGAATACGACAAAGAGAGAATAAAAGCCTCAATCGATTTAATCTTTACCTAGACTACACTCTGGACGTGTACCAACGCATCTGTGGTGAGATAGGCTTTATTCATGCAAGCATTCCATATCCCATCCCAAACAAATATGCTAGTACATAAGTGTATGTCCGGTTTTCCCCTCCAGTGGACAATTTACTGCTGATGAGGGAGTAGTGGTTTAGCCATTGTTTCCGGTTTAGGATCGGATTTCCGGTTCCGGAATTAAAAAAAGTTAATAAAAAATTGTATAGACAGAACTTGTCAAAATTATTCAAATGGGAATGTTTGAAAATCTATCTATCTATGTCCCGATATATATATATATATATATATATATATATATATATATATATATAAAACCCAGGTTGTGTGTGTGTGTGTCTGTTCGTTTATATATTGAATCGGATTTCCTACATTTTTCAACCGATTTCAACAAAACTTCACAGGACTACGCAAAATTATCTTGCGGTTGTTCTGACAGCGCCAAAAATTGGAAAACACAATTGTTTTTACACGAAATCAATTTGAAAACACAATTAATATGCATCGCTATCGCGAGAATGAAAGAGGGACAACTCATATCGAGTTATAATTATTATAAAACCCAGGGTATTTGTGTGTGTGTGTCTGTGTTCGTTTATATATGGGATCGGATTTCCTACGTTTTTCAACCGATTTCCACGAAACTTCACTTTTTTTTGGCAGGTAGTGTTCCTTATTGTCTTGCACACTTTTTTTCTTTATTTTTACATTCAGAATGCTTTAAAAATTCCATTTACAAGACAATTGTTTATAATAAAATTCTATTCAATAGGTAGACTCCTAACGATTGAAAACAATGCTTTTGTTTGAGTTTGGGTTTGACCAATTCGTAAAAAAGAAAAAAACAAACAAACAAAAAAAAATCAATTAAGACAAGCGTGTCCGACAACGTTAAACAATAATCTTTGTCAATTTTATTTTTCAGTCTTTATGATGGTCGATACTTGATCGGGCAACGCTGGGCTCTACTGTTATATATATATATATATATATATATATATATATATATATATATATATATATATATATATATATATTTGTTTATTTATTTATGTGTGTGTATTGATATAATAGGAAAGAACAGTTAGATTAATGATCCAATATTCTTTACTATTTATGTTCTTTTTTATAAAAACAGTGCTCAATACAGAAATAGAGCTTAATTTTAATTATTTAAAAAAAAAATGATTCCATCGCGACACAAATATTACTATGTTTTGAAACTTGATTTCAGTCCTAAAGTTTAATTTCAATATTAAACTTAAAATTTAGAGTAACTAACTGAAGAAATATTTGACTCATATATAGGTTGAAGATGGATGTGTAACCAGGTGTTTTTTTTTTCCTTTCGCTATGAAGGGGTCACCACTAAATTTTAAGTTTAGTATTGAAACATATTATATTATATAATATTAAGCTCTGTTCTGTATTATTGAACCCTATATTAAAAATTAAATACTACAGACAGTGGAACTATATTCCATTTGTTCTTATCCTAGATATATATATATATATATATATATATATATATATAAACACACACACACACACACACACACACATATATATATATATATATATATATATATATATAATTATCCATCCCACAAAATTACAGCAGCATCCACAATTTGCAGTTTTTCTTTGCCCTGTCCTGTATAAGACATTTATTTGGTTTTTTATCTAATGTTAAAATTATTTCGTTTATTTGTCATATGTTCATCTATATGTGTGAGAATATTTTATTTTTATTCTATAGAAATAACGTTTGAACAAATTAACTATAAGCAGTGCAGACCAGCAGCCCTACGTGGAATCGCCGTTCCTGGAGTTGCTCGAGGCAGTTTTCCGCGTACGCCGATGACGTATCTGTTTTCATGTCGTCCCGCAGCGACAGGCGGTACTGAAGGCGCTTGATCGGTACGAAAAAGTGACAGGGGCCAAGATTAACCGCGACAAGTCGTCCGGCTTGCGGTTCGGTGCCTGGAAGGGGGTCGATCTTCTCGGGCCCTTCGATTGGACAGACGGTCCTGTCCGCATTCTTGGAGTGTGGTTTGGACCCGACCTCCAGCTGGAGAAAAATTGGTCTGAAGTACGAGCAGAGGTCGACGCGGCCGCTCAGATTTGGCGTCGACGGAGGTTGTCCGTGAAGGGCAGGGTGGAGGCGTATGCCACTTACGTTTTCCCGATTGTCCTTTATCGATTGTGTGTATCGATCCTCCCTGTAAAGACACTAGGAAGACGCTCCAGCGCTCGCTATCCTCCGTTTTATGGAGAGGACGCAATCATCAGGTTGACAGACGAGTCTTTGCACAACGTCCGTGTCATGGGGGGCTGGGAATGCCACACTTGTTGAGCCACAAACTGGCCTCGTGGTTGTCTTTCCTACGCCGCGCATTGACAGGAGATGCGTTTATGGCGGGCATTGTTAGGGACGCGTTCCTTTTCCTTACTATCAGTCCCCCTCCCTATCAAACGGGTTGAGCGCCATCGTAAAACCCGGGATCAATCGGGTCTCCTTCGCGAGTGTCGGTCGGCCTTATTGGCCTTTTCTCGGTCCAGTGACCTTTCACAACCTAGGAAGGTCTTCT